ATCTGAAAAGAAGCAAGTAGAAAGTTGATTCAAATATTACCAATCAAGTAAAGGTCAAGAAAAAAGATTATAAAGTTATACATCAAGTAGTTAATATATAGCTCAATAAAATATAGCAACAGAAACAAAGTCTTTTTAAAATAATATATGAATATATGCATAAAGACAAAATAAAAAATATTGAAGAATTCTTTAAATTATACTACAAGATAAAGCTATTTATCACAAAGAAAGCTATAGAAAGACTGTACCAACAAATGTAAAAGAATTTCAAAAAAAGATCTGAAACAAATGCTATAAAGTGATAATTGAATAGGAAAAGATTTTGGGTATTGATAGGAGATCTAAATGACACTGAGTTCCAAAAAACAAGTTTGAAAACACAAAAAATCCAGAAGAAAAAAATAGTCTTCTATTAGATAAGATACTATATGAAGAACAATCCAAAGGTATAAAACTTGAAGAGATTATTGAAAGATAGATAGTAAAAGGGAGAAAGTGATTAGGTATTTGATCTACCATTTAGAATTTTGGATGATTTATAGTAATGAGCTGTAAGCAATGAACTTAATAGCTAAAGGATAATTTAAGTTATTAAGAGAACAAAATATCATCTCCTAAGTAATGATGGGTTCCTAAAGTATTTAGCATATAAAATTTTGCAAATCACTTATATCCCTTTTAAGAAATAAAATTCGTAGCTCTTTATTTTAATAGGGACAAAAGTCAGAAAATGCTATAAATCAATGATTTGAATAATGGAGAACAATTGTAAATAGTTTGTTTATAGTTATTAATTTAAAAATTTTAATGTTTACTAGTGAGGGACATTTGACGGTTATCCCTACCTCCCCCTTTAGGGGCTCATCTTTACTTCTAAGTTATATCTAGAGAAGTTAAATTTCTAAAATGGGTAAGCTGTTATGTGAAAATCTTTTAAATTGTATAACATTTTAAAATACACAATAAAGATAAGTCATATTAGCTTGACAGTGAATTAAAAAAATTTTTTTAACTTTTTAAAATATAGTTTTATATATAATTTGCTATAAAATAATATATAACTTATAATATTTATACAACTTATTATATAAAATTTTTAAAAAAATTAAAAATAATATTATTAAATAAATATGAATTATTTTAATTAAAAATTATTTTATAAAATTAAAATATTTATATTTTATATTTTTTTATATTTTTTAAATAAATAAATTCTAAATTATAATAAAAATTTTAATTTTTTAAAAAATTTAAGCAATTTTTTTTTTTTTTTTTTAAACCCATAGTCAGATCAGCATAGTGTATTTATTAATCTTTAAGAATATCAATAGAAATACATTGGACAATTATATTATAGCTAAACTAAATCTCATGTTGACTCATTTGTCAATAGCTTTCAATTCTCAAATAAGCTTAAGCCTCTAAGTATAACCTTGGAAACAATATTTTGTTTTGGAATAAGTTTTGAATAAAAACCCTCCTAACTTATCTATCATTGTCAATAGGTTGTTACTATCTATTATTCTTCAAAGAACTGATTTTGAGAAACTACAATAGAAGAAAGAAAAAAATAAAAGAAAAGGGGATATCTAAAACTACACAAATATGCTATATGAAGAGAAAAGGAAAAAAGAAAATAAAAGTGTTCTATGTTCTCCAAAGGACCTTTGCTAGAAACCTTCTCTCATTAAAAACCAACCCTTCTGGAATATTTTTCTTCTTTTTAACTATCTGAGGAATTTATTTATTCATTATCTTTATTATTTTCTTGTAATTGTCTGAAATACTTATCATCTACTCAGACCCAGTGTCTTGCTCATCGCTTCTTTTCTTTCGATATTGATTTTATATCCATTCACATCAAGTAATGAATTATAATGGACTCTAGATTCTTATGTAACCTTTCAATCATATTGTATAACTATCGATATCTTCTAGCAGCCATACCTAGTTAAAGAAATTTTACTAATAAACATCTTCCATTGTTCAAAAAGTCAGTTTCCCAATAGTTTTTTTGCTTTGCAATAATAAAAGAGTCTCATAGAGTGTAGGGATCCTTGTCAATTATGATATCATTATATAATGTTAAAAAAATATATTCACAATTCTAGAAAAGAATAGTGGTTTACATTCTTTTGCTTTTTGATCTTATTTCCTGATTGGAATAAGAAAATAATCTTCTTCACATACTTTGCCTAACCAGGATGATAAATAGTTGAAGATTTTAGCTTAAACAAATAATCACTTTTTTACCATATAAAGAATTTAGTATCCATCCTAATGACCTTATGATTTCTTTGTTTCAGTTACATCTTATTTGAAGGAGTAAAGAATTTGCAATAATAGATTTTCTGTCTTTCATTAATAACATTATCAGAACACGTGAAGTGATCAGTAGGTACTTGTTTATATTCAGTTACTAACATATTTCATGTCCACCAATCATATTTTGCAATAGATTGTGTCACTTAAAATTTAGAGTCAAACTGAGATAGGCAAAATTCCCTAGAAAATCTCCAAAAATTTTTGAGTGACTATAAGAAGGAAGATATAGTGAGCAGATACCTTAAAATATGGCTAAATGTTTGCTATCTCTCATTACTAAAAACCTCTATAGATATGCTTCAATATAGAAGGCTTCAAATACTATACTATTGGTTTTTCTTCCTTATAGAACTTTCTTGCTATTGATAGAGAAGGTGCTTTTGACTTTTCTAGGTCACAAGAAGTCAAGCTTTTGTTTAAAAATAAGTATAAACAAGAGAAAGTATTTGAGAATATCTCTTGAAGCAGAACTTCAAGTTGGTTTAAGGATAGTGTTAAGACTTTATTAGTAAAGAAATAAAAAATTTTTTGTGAATAGCTTTTTTATATATGGTTAAAGGATTAGCGGAAAGAGTTTTAATTTAAGCAATTCTTTTTGTCCTTTATTGTATATAATAAGATTTATATATTATTGATTAATCTCTAAAAAATTTAATTTTAATTTTAGAGCTTTAAAATTTTTAAATTATGTAATTTATTTTATATTATTAGTTTTATAATTTTTTGATATTAATTTAATTATTACAAACAAACTTAGGTTAATATCAATATTTAGATTATATATATTTTTAAAGAAACTTTTTAATATAAAAAATTGCTAAAAGTATAATATAGCTTAATAATTTGTAAGATAAAAAATTTTTAAAAAAATATTAAATTAAAATTTAGATCTTTTTACATTATTGTCAAAAAATTTAATACATTTTAATAAGACAATTGTGGAAAAATTCAATTCTGAATTTTAATTTTAATGCTCTTAAAATTTTTCAAAAAAATTTTTAAAAACATCAAAATTGAAATTTAAATTAAAATTTTTTACAACTGTTTTATTAAAATATATTAAATTTTTTACAATAATATAAAAAGACTCAAATTTTAATTTATATTTTTTAAAAATTTTTGATCATATAAATTATTAAGCTATATTATATTCCCAGTAATTTTTTATATTAAAAGTTTTTTTAAAAAAATATAATTTAATATTAATACTTACTTAAGTTTGTTTGTAATGATTAAATTAATTTTAAAAAATTATGAAATTAATAGTATAGAATAAATTATTTAATTTAAAAATTTTAAAGCTTTAAAGTTAAGATTGAATTTTTAAAGATTGATAATGACATATGAATTATACTGTACTTACTTTAGAAAATATATTTTTAATACTATATTATTTATTATTATTATTTTTCAAAACTTTTTTATTATAGATAAAAAAATATTTCTTAAATTTTTTTAATTACTAAAAGTTAAATTTTTATATAAAAATAAATATCAACAAGAAAAAAAGTATAATAAAAACTCTTAAAGTTATCCTTTAAATTGTTTTAAGTATAAAAATATAAAACCTTTTGCAAATATCTTTTTTGCGTATTATTAAATAGTAATATTATTAAAGTTCAATATTTCTCTAGTAAATAAATAAATAGTTTTACTTCAATTTTTTTTTAATCAAAACTTTTTTCTTGTTGACAAAAAAATTATATTCATGTCTTTTAGGTTATTAATAATTAAGTTTTATTTGAAAAAAAATATAAATAAGAGGGAAAAAAGTAAGAATGACTCTTGAAGTTTATTCAAGTTGAATTAAGGAAAGTAATAAGACTTTATCAACAAGAAGTATAAAAATTTCTTGTGAATATCTTTTTTTATATGTGGTTAGAAGATTAATAGAAAAAGTGATTTTTTGCTTTTGTAATATATTTGATTAAATATTATAATAAAAATTGGTAATATATAAAATTGATTTGATTTTTTATTAAAATATAATAGTTTTTATTTATATACATTTTTGAGATTAAAATATATATAGATTTACTGTATAATATCTATTTAATATTTTAATTTAACAAATTATAATTTAATAATCTTAATTAATATTCTTTTGAATTTTATAAATTTTAATTTATTAACTAAAACTATCATTTATGAAATATCTAAAAAAGATATTCCGAATTTTTTAAACTTATTGTGAAACTATTTATTATTATGTTTTTTCTTTTTTAAAAAATTATAGAAAAGTGATTACAATTATTTAATTATTTCTTACTAAAAAACAATATTCTTGATATTAAATTGTTTCAAAGAATTATGTTCTTATAATTTCTTTAAGCTAACTGTTGCATTAACTGATTGGTTACAGTGACCATGTAAAAGATTCACACAAATAAATATTGATAACAACGACATTACAAGTTAATAAATCTATTACATTCTGCGTTACAGAAAAATTAAACTTTTTGATAATAATCTTCTTGAATTAATTTACTTGCTCTCCACGCGACCATAGCAGTTGGAGCGTTAAGATTACCTGCAGGAATAGTTGGAAAAATTGAAGCGTCGATAACTCGAAGATTTTTTGTTCCATAAACTTGAAGGCGATGATTGACACATCCTCCCTTAGATTCTGGTGCCATTTTTACTGTACCACATGGATGGGCTGATGAAGTTGTCTATGATAAAGGAAGCTAATATCAATAATTATATTCTTCGTTTTACATTAGTGGATGTACTTTTCTACTTACCCTTTTGCGAATGTACTTTTCCCATTCTTTATCATCATTCACTTCATCTAGACCAATTACTTTCACACCCCAATAAGTACTTAATGGAGGTTGTTCAAGTATTTTACGTGATAACTTAAGACTACTCATCATTCTATACAAGTCTTCGGGTTTATCATAGTAATTAAGAAATATTTTTGGGCGTGCAAATGGATCCGAGCTACGTAATTCCAAATGACCGACACTTGATGGAAGATTAAGAGCCGTTAACATGGAATAAAATTCTTTTTTATCCGTTGGATGTTCATCAAGAATGCCTTTATCAAATAAGACTGCTCCCGCTATAAAATTATAATTTACAAATTAATCAATTACCAAAGCATTCTTTTTTTTTTTTAACAACATTCCAAAAATATATTATTTCAAGATGTTAGCTTACAATATTGTTGAATGTCAGGACGTTCATCGTTAAATTCTTCTTGACTAGGAATCTTTCCTTCAATATTACCTTTATAAAAAGATACAAAATCTACTCCGAAACTTGAATAATTAAATATAGAAGCACCTGTACTATTTGGAACAGAAACTGTGGCAGTAACGATACAAAAAGGATGATCCCATAAATTATGTCCAACTGGTAATTCTTTGCGAACTTTGATCCTATTATCTTCTAAATTTTTTTTTGGTCCAATTCCAGAGAGCATTAAAATCTTTTTTTAAAAAAAAAACAATAAAAAAATTTTTTTATCAAAATATATAATGTCAGCTTGATCATGAACAAATTCTTAATTCTTACCTGAGGACTATTAATAGCACCACCGCAAATAATAACTTCACCTTTTGGAGCAATATAACAATTGTGATCTTCACCATTATAAGAATATCTCACGCCAATTGCAACATTTTCATCTTTCTTTTCTTCGTCCCAAATAATATTTAACATGTGGGCAAAGGTTTTGACATTAACTGCCACAAACTTGCCAACGTTATCATCGCCTGGTGCATGAGGATGTCCTGCAATAAATGGTTTCGGAGGATAAACTGTAACTTTTTTCAATGCATCTTTCAAATAACCATCAGCCAATGTAAAGCGCTTTCCATCTTTCATCGTAAACTATTGTATTAAAAAACATAAGACGTAATACGTTTTAAAAATTTTATTTATTACCCACTTACTTGATATCTTCCTATTCCATTTTGTTTAGCGCCATTGAAATCTTCATTACAAGGAATACCAAATTTTCTTGCAACTTTAAAAACATCTTTAGAAATATCAAATTCCTCAACTGCTGGATCTTGTACGTGAAGCAAACCATTGAACCCATGATAATTTTCGAATTCTACATCTGGATTTTTACGTGCATTATTTTCAACCGCTTTGAAAGCTTTTGTTTAAATGCAATGGTTTAAAAAAATTAATTTTCTATAAGTAAAATATGTTATATATAAGAATTAGGATGCGATTATTGAATATTAACCTTCAAGGCAGTGATCATAGTTCCAAATAATGTATTCGGGATCTTGAGCGGCCCAAAGATCATAATCAGCTTTATGACCTCGCCTAAATTAATACAAAAATCGAAAAATTAAATTATTAACAAAATGATTTTAATCCGCGGAAAAAAAATAGAATTTTTTCTTGCATGTAAGCCAGTGCATTCACAGTACTACATCCCCCAATAACCTTGCCACGTGGATAAGGAAAACCTTTATTTACTACTTCTTCAGCAGAATCAACAGTACCAGGCATTCTTTGATCTTCAGTGGAATAACCCCAATCTGTTTCACTTGTACGACTAACCTACAATAAATTCGACATTAACTTTAAGATAAAAGTTGAAAAGAAAAAAATCTTAATGTACCGTAGTAAAAGCACATGGCGAACGCATTATATCATTGATATGGATATCTGGTGGACCAGCTTCTAATACCAAAATATTAATGTTGGGGATATTGTAAATCAACTCTCTTGCTAGAACGCATCCAGCAGTTCCAGCTCCAACGATAATAAAATCATAATATTCATAGTTTACTCTCGTATCAATGGTTAACATTTAATCAAAAATAAGAAAAAAAGAAACAATGTTTATTATCAACCAACTGAATTCTCTAGTTCAGAACAATAAAATAATTAAGATGAGAGAATGCGCAATTATTTTATATTTGAAAAATTTTCGCTTTCGTCACCTGACGTAATCATGATTTGGCCCTCTAACTAAAAGACCTTTGAAAGATGCAAACGATAAAGAAAACCAATCTTTATGTAATCTTTTGTTGTTCGCGGGCTCGAACAAATAATAAGTACCACCTCCTTATTTTTTATTCCAAATCGATTGCAATTGTTATATTTACAGAGTCGAAAATGGGATTAAAGGTATGCATTTAGAAAAATGATATTATCGCCTCGCATAAGAACAGATGATTTCTTTTGTAATAAAATTCTCACACAGTCATTTTGTCCGTATATCGACAAGGGTTACAATGGATTGCACATGAGAAAATTCGATTGATGTATTCTACATACGCCAGATCACAAGATACTTCACTTAAATTTTGCAGTGGAGGTCTCTCAAAATATTTTTATAAAATTCAAAGCCAGCAAGTAAACTAAAGTTTCGCCCTCAATCTTAAACTGATAATTATGCGCAGTGTCATACAGGTGATCTCAATGGACATAGTTACACTTTTATCCGGAAATAGCCTAATACCAAAGCATTTTCACATGTATTATGGGCCCAGTATGTTACACATTTGTACACATAATTCTTCATTATTTTCATAGAATATCAAATCAACCCTTAATCCTATCAAATATGTCTGAAAATTGCTTCCGGATTACAGAAATAATATTTGTTAATAGCCTGCATTCAAAAAACTATTCTGTTTTTATCTTACCGGAAGTACCGGAAGAGCTTGAAGATGAATTAGTTGAAGAGCCTCGCGAATTAGTTTCAGATTCATCACGCGATAACCAAGGATCTGCGTTGGGGCATAGCCGGAATCACGTGGCTTAACATTTTCGGTTTTAAATTTCTGCATCACGTGCGGAAAATTATGGTAGCGAACAAAAAAAAACACTAGACCAAAAATAGCATACTTTCCGAGGAGTTGAATTGCATAATAACTTTTGAATCAAATCAAAGTTTTTCTAGATGAATTTTTTTTATAATATTCGCCAAGTAAAAAAGAACTCTATAAATTCTATATTTGATCGATTTCATTCGAGCGGTAATCATTGTTAAAAAAAAAAAAGATGATAATAATAAGTGATGCATTTTTTTTCAAGTAAAAAAGATTACAGAGTTAAATATGTATAACATTAAGAAAAAATTTTTTCTTGCTGTAATTTATAAATCCAAAAAAATAGTTGTCTGTAATTAATCATTAAGTCAAATTAAATCAATAAAGAAACAAATTTTGACTATATATGCTATATACATATTACTATTTTCAAATTAAAAAGAAAATTAAAATAGATTTATAATTTTAAATAATTATGCCATTCAAAAAAAAAATTTTTTTACTAAAATATTTATTTGATGTAATATCACTTGTGTAACATTTGTTAAAAAAATAAATAATTTGATAAATTAATAACATAAATAAATTGTTAATCAATTTCTACTATATAATTCAATATAAATAACTCAACAATCAATTTCTACTATATAATTTGATATTGTTTATTATATAATTTAATATAAATAAATTATTACTATTTTTATTATATATTCTATTAAAATTCTTCTTAAAAATCCTTATTCTTATTTTAATATTCATCAAGATTTGAATTTTATTAAAATTTATATATTTACTAAATTTTTAATTATATTTTATATTTATGATTCAAAGAAACTACCATTAAATATTAATGAGTATTTTATCTATTTGAGGTTTTATACTTAAAGAAATAAATTAATCAAAAATATTATAAATAAAAATTATATATTTATATCTAATTGAATATAATTCAATATTTTATAATTCAATGTTTATATTATTTTTAAATTTAAAATAAAATCTATTTTCTGTTAAATTAATAAGTTTATATTACTAAATATAGTAAAAGTTAATTAATACTTAATAATATTATTTAAAAAATTTATAAATATATAAAAAAATTTTGAACTTGTTCTGAATATACAGTAAATCTATATTTTTATTATAATTCATAAATTGAATTAATATAAATATATCTTAATATTTTACTTTCAATTCAATATTAATCATATTAATCTACATTATTTTAAATAATTAATCTACTTTATTTTGAATAATTATTAAATTTTTATTATCTTTTATAAATGGTTTTCAAAAATTTGTAGATTCATAAAATATTTTATAGTATTTAATTAATAAATTTGATATTTAGATAAATATCTTTAATTTGTTTATTTTAAATACAAAAGTTTACTTGAAAATATTTAAATTTATTGATAATTATTTTATAAATATTATATGTATTATTTAAAAATTGATGTAATTTGTTAGTAAAAATAGATTTAGTTTAAATATCTGATAAATTATTTGATAAATTAAATTTTTTTTTTTTTAAACCCTCTGTTAGGCTAGGTATGTGTGCTTTATTAAACATATGTATACTTTACATTAAAAATGTATCGCTAAAGCTAAGT